CATGCTTCCCCAGGAACCAGTGGAATACTCCATAAGAAGACAGTTTTTACACCTGTGTCACACCTGCCCGTGTGTCAAGCAGACTCCACTGAGACAGACTCTCCCTCCTTTTCCAGCACTCTCCGTAGTTTTTGCTTAATCAGAATTTATTTCCACCTTTTGAAGGATGTGAGTGTAGACATCCCGCAGGTGAGCGGCTGATGGCGGGGGCTGAGGGCTGCACCGCCCCGCCCCGGCTGCCTGAGCCGGTCCAGCACGCATGCGTTTGAGCACCACTGGGCCTGCGTGTGTGGCAGCTGGTGGAGAGGTTGGCACTGCTGGGTATCTATTCAGAGACTGACTGTGTTGTGAACCACTTCTGTCTCTCTTGAGCAAAGACACGTGGTCTTCAAAGCCGCCCTGGACCTCCACCCCACAGGGAGGGATTATTAAATAAAGACTCGCATGGAAGCAGAGTAACAGCTCAGGGAAATCGAGTGGGATAGTCTTGTACCATGCAAAGCTACAAGAAACGTATTCACCTTCATTCAGAATCATCCAGGAGCTCTCTATGGCCTTGCTCTATTCTTAGTGAGGGGACTTTTTTTGAACAGAACAAATGCCCTTGCATAAACTTAGATGCCCGTGCGTTTGCATCAGAGTTAAAATTCACCACCTGTCTGCCTCTGGGTTTGCCTTGCCTCCCTGAGGGTCATTTGCCAACACAGGATTCAGGATGGAAAGCTGAGAACTTCTAAAAAGAACATCCTGGAATAGAAGCCAACAGGCAGCTAGTTAGGTGAGAAATCCAGGTGAGCATTGCACTCTGACACCAGCTAGTAGGTGTTTTGGGTTGGCGTTGAAATGAAGTCCTGAGCACGTTTCTAGGCATTTGTTGCTTGAAGATCGCTCTGGTCCCAATCCCACCACAGAGTGCTCTCATGCAGAGTGGGCTTGAAACCGAGCAGGTAAAGGCCATTGCCGAAAGGTCGCATTTTCTGGAGGAGACCTGCCCGGCAAGCTCCACCCCGAGACCCTGCACTGGCCGTCTCTCTGTCCGTCTGTGGGTCCTGCGAGCTGCCCTTTTATGGTGTGTGGGTGTGTGATTGCCCTTTCTCCATCCCACCTCCCTGCTCGCCTGAGGACTAAACCCAGGTCCTGCGTGCTCAGCACGCTGTGAGCCACACCCCTCCCCCCCACTGGACTGTTCTTGGCTTCCTTGCTGAGGTGAAGTTCATAGTTCATGCCTACAGTTCACCTATTTACGGCGTGTGCTGCTGTGCTTTTCCTGCATTTACTGGGCTGTGCGTCCATCACCGCGGCTCCTTGGGAACGCCCACTGGCCTCAAAGCTCCCTGTCCCTTCACTGTCCCTTCCCCTCCCTCCCGCCCTGTGGGGCAGGGAGACTGCGCCTGTGTGCTCGGTCCTGAGGGTCGCTGTGTGGTGCTTCTCCAGACGAACACTCACACTTAAATTTATGTTTCATTCATTGCTGAGCATTTGGATCATTTCCAGGTTATTTCAGTTATTGTGAGGAATGCAGCTGCAGGCCTGGCTGTGCAGGTGTGGTGCAGACGCGCTCACCTTCCTGGCATCACCTCGAGTGCCGGTCACGCTAACTGCTGCCGAGCTTTCTGGGGAGCACCTGCCTGCTCCCACACTCTCCCCCATCGCAGTGGTTATGACAGCCGCCCTGGAAGGTCTGCACGCACCACGCCGGGCCGTGTGTGCCGCACATCTCTCCATCCCGGCTTTGGGAAGCACACGCTGCATCCCGATCCTGGGCCCATCCTTCAGAACCGGGTTTCCAGCTTGTTCTTGCTGAACCCTGTGCTTTGTCTGGGGAAGGTCTCGGACCACGTTGCCCCTCACACAGGTGGGTCCTAGAGCCACACCACTATGCTGGCTTGCTTGTTGAGATGGGGGTCTCGCTGACTTTTTGCCAGCACCACCCTCAAACTCCAGTCCTCCTGATCTCTGCCTCCCAGGCAGCTGGGTTAAAGCATGCACCCTGCCTCCGGCCCCCACCTGTGTTTCCCTCAGCAGCGTGGAGGGGGCATGACTCAGGACCTAGCACTTCGAGACACGCCTCAGCCTCTTCTCTCTCTTGTTTAGTATTTTCTTGTCTGAATCAATACTTCGGTAGTACACCTTATACCGCCTGCCCCACACTACCACAGCGTGTTTCCCTTCCCCAGAGAACTCTGTTGCTACAAGTTCTGGAATTGCACCGACTGCTCTACAGTGAATAGAAACAAACCCTCTGGCCCGGGCACGCCTTCCAGAGCTCGTCATCTCCAGGCCCCGGTCTTGTAAAACTGCAAGAATGTGGTCATGTACAGGTGCACTACCTGTGAATGCGGGTATTTGCATGTGTGTTGTATACATATACACATGTGTGTATGCACATGTGTGCAAGAGGTGTGTATGGACGTGTGCACAGTGCTTGTGTGCCTGCACATTGTGTGCATAAAGCATGTGGACACGTGTGTGTGCGGATTGTGCATGTGTGTGCCTTGTATTCACAAGTGCCCTGTGTTCCTGTAGGTGTGCGCGCGTGTGTTCGGTGTGTGCGTGTAGGTGCGCTGCTTAGCTAATCTCCCGCGGGTAGGTGTGTTGCCGGGGTGACGGAGCACTCGTTTCCGTGGAGTGCGTGGCTGGACTCAGTGCTGAGTCTCATCTTGTCTGTGGTGTAGGCGACTTCTGGCTCCGCTGTGTCTGGTGAAGGCTGAGCTGCCCCACAGGTCCTGGGGCCGACAGGGGGCCTTCCAGCCCCCCAGCAGGCCCCAACCACGCAGGGCTGGTGCACAGCCCCTCTGACCCCCGGAAGCTGAGTGATGGGCGTTTGCTTTTGTGTTCTACTCAGAGAAAGAGACTTAGTACTAGTTTATAACAATGAGTGCACCTTGTTTTCTTTGTTGGTTATCGTTGACTGTACGTGTGAATCTCCACAGGTTTCCAGGCGCTGGATCAGTTTCCTGTGGCTACTGCAGAGAATCAGGCCAGTGGCAACTTGGGCAGCAAACGCTCCCTACCTGCATCATGGAGGGCAGCTCCTCTGCAGGCCCGTTCCGCTCTCCAGTGCCCAGGCTTCTGGCCGCATTGCTGGCTGCTCCAGCACCGCGTGGTCCCTCCCTATGGGGGCGCAGCTTGCTCTTCTTACCAGCCCCCGTGTGAGGGCCAGGCTAGAGGGGGCTGGGCCCATGCCGGGTGCTGCTCTCAAGCACCAAGGGCTCAGAGCCTGCCAGCTCTGCCAGAGCCAGGAGAAGCCCCCAGAGGGAGGAGCCCGCCAGAAGGGAAGTAGAGCGGGCGGGGAGGAGCAGCCTGTTGCCCAGAACAGAGGTGCTAGGGAGACCAACCACGCCCAGGATTTTCCCTCAGGATTCCCATTCACTGAAGGAACAGTGGTTCATGTACCAGGCGTGTTCCAGACCACGCCAGAAATCAGTGGTACTTCCTCCTCCGTTTGCGTGTTGGTTTGGTTTGTTTCTGTGTTTTATGGCAACATGGGGGCTTGAACCCACGGCAGGGGCTCCATTCCTTTGAGTGAGGCCTCTAGCCTTTTTCCTGCCTTTGATAGGTGAGAAAATGGAGGCCCAGGGCGGCTGGGAGGCATGCCCAGGGTCACACAGCTAACAGACCACACGCGAGTGTGCACTGTAGCCAGGCCCCAGACTGTAACTTCTGCCTGCCTTCTGGAGCTGGGGGCCGCACGCATCTCACTGGCCCGGGCCAGAGGCACTCAGGAACCGACAGGCTCCTGATGAGTGGGGGGCTGGAGGAAGAAGCTAGTGAGGGAGACCCACCTGGCAGCAGCACGCTGCAGTCCAAGGCGCCAGGGAAGGCCGGGAGCATGCTCCCATGGGACCCACTGCAGGCCGAGGCCCCGGGGAAGGCCCGGAGCACGCTCCCATTGACTCACTGGGCCCAGGGCTATCCTGCTGGGGCATGATGGTCAGGGGTCATCCTGACACAGACAAGCCTGGCGGAGTCCTCACGACATGGACCACAGCCTGCAGGTGTGGGCTGATGAGCAGCTCGTTCTGCATGCTGAGACAATCAACCCCCCGCGGGGTGACAGAGGGAGAGGCATAGGATCCAGTGCAGGCCCAGGGGCGGCCACAGCACTGCAGGAGGGAGCAGGACGTGGCTGCTGGCCACCTGCCGGGCTGTTGAATTTTATTTTTTCTGTTGGTCTTGGGGCTTGAACTCTGTGCCTGGGTGCTGTCCCTCAGCTCTCCAGCTCAAGACGAGCACTCTACCCCTTGAGCCACAGCACCACTTCTGGTTTTCTGGTGGTTTATTAGAGATAAGAGTCTCATGGACTTTCCTGCCTGGGCTGGCTTTGAAATGTGATCCTCAGATCTCAGCCTCCTGAGTGGGTAGGATGACAGGCGTGAGCCATGAGCTTTGGATTTTAATTTATATGAAAGTGTGACCTAGTAACACAACCAAGTGATTGAATGGCACCGATCTGAGGATAGGGAGCCACAGCCCCTCCCCAAGCTTGTGACGAGACTGGGAAAGGAGAACTTAAAACTCCACAGTAGATATCCCCCAGTGCTGTTGAGAGCCGAGCGAAGCACAGGGCGGGGCTTCCTCCGAGAGTGGAGAGTCCCAGCGACGCTGCAGGGCCCTGGGGGAGAGAGGGCCTTCCCCATGCCGGCCACACAGGGCCGGGAAGCAGCGCGGGATGGCACCTTCGCCATCTGTCCCCAGAGTTCTGATTGGCTTCTCGCTAGCCAAAGCTGGGCTGAAGGGAGGTGGGCCTGGCATCCGGCCCAATCACTTGCAGTCAGAGCAGCCCACCCTGAGCTGCACCCCCAGAGCGTTGCACGGAGTACTTCAGCAGGGAAGACAAACCCAAATCCAGAAACTTCTGCCGAGAGTCACCCTTAAGCTTAGTTCCCTCTCCACATGAAGGCGAGGGGAGAGTGTGGTCCAAGGGCCGAGGAACGTGCACGCCATCACCATCGCAAGGATGCTGATTCTCAAGAAAGGATTTTGTCATGTTTTTACAGATTGGCAAAATGAGCGACGGAGGAGAGCCAGAAAAGAGAAGACGTCGCGGCGAGCTTTCCCCGATGGCCTCGGAAGACAGTGACGTGTTTGGTATGTGGCGTGCGTGGCAGGTGGCGTGTCTGGCGTGTGATGTAGACTTGGAACGCGTGTGTCACATGGCGACCGCGCTTGCTGGGACAGTGTGGGTGATCGCAGAGCCCGGAGCACCGTGACGCCCGTGCGGGCCCTGTCTTGCTGTTTCTGTTGCTTTGGTTTGGGAATCTCCCGTAGCCCCGGCCAGCACCGCCCCGTGTTCTCTGCACGCCTCCTCTCACCCCTGCTTGGGGCTGGGGGCATCAGCCACTGCCGTGGCCCCCACACAGCGAGCTAGCCGGGGACTGGGCCGGGGGTTGGCGCGTGACTGCTGTGCCTGCCCTGGCTTTTCTCGATGCTGCGTGGAACATACCCGTGGTGTCACGGTGCAGCCGGCTAGGGTCCTGAGGACTCCAGGTCCTCACCTGAGAAGGCCACCTCCCTTCCCCCACACCGGCCTGCGGGGCCTCCCTCCGCCGCCCCTCCCCCTCCCCACACCAGCCTGCGGGGGGCCTCCCTCCGCTGCCTCTCCCCCTCCCCGCACCTCAAGCCAGGTCCCAAGCCCAGCCTCTGAGCTCCTGTCCACTTCACTTGCTAGCAAAGCAGGCTTCATGGGTTGCTGTTGCTCCGATTCACTCGCTCTTTTCAAGGTCCGTCCTTTCTGCCCCCTCCCCTCCAGAGCGAGCACACGTAATCACCGCTCGGCCACCCCCCTCTGTCTTCAGCCTCCAGACACAGCCTCTCCCACGCATGGCCAAACCAGGGTGCCTCCTCTGATGGCCGAGAGATGCGGCTGACCCACCCAGCGCTCACGCGCATGTCCTCGGGAACCGCTGTCAGTGGCTCTCTTCCGGCAGAGGGAGGAGCAGAAAGCAGCTGGGCGGAGTCGGGGCCAGGCCCACAGGAGGGTGTGGGGGCGTCCGTTGTGTATGGTCAGCCGTGTATAGAATGGGTCACCAGTGCACACCAAGAGCTCACACGTACAGAGGATCGCAGAACACACCAGCACATGCAGAAAGTGACAGAGACAAACGCCAGATGTAAGGTTTTGTTTTCACTCCTAGCTGGTTGTGTATAGGACTGTTGTACCAATGACAGTCTCTCTGTTAGCATCCCAGCATGTAAGTGCACGCCTGTGTCACGCTCAGATGTGTACACACGACATAAAAGGTCTGTCAGCACCCTCTCCTCTTTTCTTTCTCGAGTTGGGGATTGAACCTAGAATCTCGTGCATACTAGGCAGGTCCTCCCCCACCTCCCAAGCCGCACCCCCAGCCTGAGGACCCTCCCCGAATGAAGAGGACAGGATGCTTTCCGAAGCTGCTTTCCAAGGCATCTGTAACCTCCCCAGGTTGGGAGAATTCCTGTCTCTGATTCAAGGTGTAGACCCAGGCAAGCCCAGAGCGTGCGCTCCTCAAGCTCCCCACAGACCTGGGTGGGTGTGTGCTCCTCGGGAAGAAGCCGGGGCCAGCGGCTCCCTGATGCCTGCTGTGTTGTTCCTGGTACTGGGATGCAGGGAGAAGCCAGCTGCATGATGTCAGGATTACAGCAGCCATGCACTGTCAGGATTACAGCAACCACACACTGTCAGGACTACAGCCAGCCACACACTGTCAGGATTACAGCAGCCACACACTGTCAGGATTACAGCAGCCATGCACTGTCAGGATTACAGCCAGCCACACACTGTCAGGATTACAGCAGCCACACACTGTCAGGATTACAGCAGCCACACACGGTCAGGATTACAGACAGACACACACGGTCAGGATTACAGCAGCCACACACGGTCAGGATTACAGCAGCCACACATGGTCAGGATTATACAGTCGGAGCCCAGGGCTGGACTGGGCAGCCACAACCTATGCACGTCCTCAGTTCACTCAGCTGTAAGTCAGGGAGTTCTGGGAGGCCTGGTGTGCACCCCACAGTCAGAGTGACTCAGTCCCAGGATTGTTGTGAGCTTGTGTGTCTGGCTTTGACCTTGGTTAGTTTCCCCTGGATCCCAGCAGTGCAGTGTGGCGGTGGAAGGTGCCGGAGGGATTTCTTAGAGGCTGTGTGGTGTGGTGCACCAGTGGCTTCTGGTAAGAGCCGCCCCTTCCCTTTACAGGCCTTCCCAGGTCTGCCCGGCTGCTCCCCACGTGCGGGCCTTCCCTGAGCCTGCAGGTCATTGGTGGCCATCCCGTGGCCATCTTTAAGCTCTTGCTGAACATTTTGTCCTGGCAACAGAAGACAGATGGGGAGGTGTGCTAGTGTGGAAAATGCTCTCCTCACTGGAAAATCACACACTCAGTCTGGACCTGTGAGACAGAGGTCGGCTCCAGGCAGAGACTGACCCTGACTGGGCACAGGTGCGGGAGGGCAGGCCTCAAGCCACAAACTGAGTCAGACTCAGCTCACACTGACTCTCTGTGTGCCTGCGCTCAGCCATGTGCCAACGAGCCTGACAGAGTTCACACCTCCTGGGGAAGATCCCGCCCAAGGACCTCGTCCGTGCCCTCGGTCTCGCTGTACTTTTCCTCTGACGGAACTGCGGTTGCTGTCAGTGTGGTTCACAGGCTACTCAAGAGGAGGATGCTGCCGGGCGGGGCAGCCTGGTCAACACACGCCTGGCTTGGGGGAACAGGGTGCTTTGTGGCGGGCTCGTGGCAAAGCTTTGCTGAGCCACACACCCCGTCCTCTGCCCACACAGAACTGTCATGTGGATGCCGGCACAAGGAAGCACGTGCCCAGCCCGCCCACCCGGCCAGCTGGTGGGGTCCCAGGAGCAGCACAAGCCAGCCACACCGAGGGGCTCCAGAAGAGGGCGCTCCTGCGCTTTGGGAGTGGTGGCTTCTTCCCATTGGGCTGGAGGTTAAAGCCAGCACTGAGGGGCTGAATATCACACACGTGTACACACATAACTCGTGTATACACTCGCGTGCACACACAATGTAGTCTGACTAGACAGGTGTTCAGGCAAGGGTGGCCTAACCAGGTCTCACCTCCCTGCTGCCATCCCTCTGTACCTTGTACTGTGACAAGGGGGCGGGAGGCTGTGCGGTGGAGGACGGGCCCTCAACTGGGGGAGGCTGTGCGGTGGAGGACGGGCCCTCAGCTGGGGGAGGCTGTGCGGTGGAGGACGGGCCCTCAGCTGGGGGAGGCTGTGCGGTGGAGGACAGGCCCTCAGCTGGGGGAGGCTGTGCAGTGGAGGACGGGCCCTCAGCTGGGGGAGGCTGTGCGGTGGAGGACAGAGCCTCAGCTGGGGAGGCTGTGTGGTGGAGGTCGGACCCTCGGCTTGGGGGAGGCTGTGTGGTGGAGGACAGGCCCTCAGCTGGGGGAGGCTGTGCGGTGGAGGTCGGACCCTCGGCTTGGGGGAGGCTGTGCGGTGGAGGATGGGTCCTCAGCTGGGGGAGGCTGTGCGGTGGAGGACAGAGCCTCAGCCGGGGGAGGCTGTGCGGTGGAGGACGGGCCCTCAGCTGGGGGGAGGCTGTGTGGTGGAGGACAGGCCCTCCGCACAGACTTGTGTGGCACAGGCACACAGGGAAGGGGAGCCTCTGGGCACAGACAGGTGGAGGTGGGCTGGAATGACACGGGTACCATCTGCCCTTAGTGTGTGGGCCCAAAGAAGACAGAGCTCCACGAGCCACCAGGGAGACTGGGCTGGGCCTGGAGAGCCGGAGCCCTGGCTGTCGCGCAGATGATTCTCACAGTGTGCGCCATCCTCTGTCCCTTCTTCAGGGATGCTCTTGAGGCGTTGCTAGCAGACCTCCTCACCATGCTTGGCAGCAGTCACCGGCAGAGGCGATGGGTAGTAATGGTGCTGCGGCTGGCGCTGTGGGCCTGGGCTGCGCCCCGGGGCTGCCGGCTCCCCTCGCTTGCCGTCTGATAATGCTCCCGTGGCTCCTGAACTCTGACCAGCGGGGCCACGCAGCTCAGCCCCTCTCTTGCTGTCAGTCCACAGGCTGTGGTCCAAGGCCCGAAACCTTCTGCAGACCTGCCTTGGCAGCTGGGCCTACACAGCAGCCTGGGGCTGTTCCCTGGGGGCGTCCTGCAGGCCAAGCCTAGCAGAGCCGAGCAGAGCAGAGCAGAGCAGAGCCGCATGACGTCTAGCTCAGAGGGAGCACAGTCCCTTGGTGTGGATGCCCAGGGGCGGGCAGCACCACCTCCTCCCCACTAGGGGTCACTAGAGAGAGCGCATGTCCACCACCCTGGCTGCCTGTCCCCCAAGACAGTCACTTTGACGTCGTTCTGCCAGCCGAGTGTGGTGGGGGTGCATGGACATGATCTTCAATAAAGACGGGGCATGGCCCAGGGGGCAGAGCATTTGCCAAGTGTGAGGCCGGGGTTCAGTCCCCCGGGTCACCAGGGGAGCATACCGTCTTTAAACTGTATTTCCAAGAAGCTTCCGTGACACAGCCACATTGGTGGGTGTCATGTACACAGTGTGCACCTCCTCCACTCAGTCAACATCATTTCCATTGTGCAAATTCTACTTCAACCGGAAGCAGAGGGAGCTCCACCCCTGCCCCTCCTCCCGCCCCTCCTGGCGCTCAGGCCAGGCTGGAGCACACCTGGTGGGCAAAGGGACTTGCCAGCCCTCTGTGCTCCTGACACAGACAGGACCAGAGCCTGGCGTTTCTGTGCTCACCAGGAGACCTGGGTGCCCCACAGTCCTGGGGACAGACAGGTGAAAGTCACGCCCCCTCCTGACCAAGGACCTGGCTGCTCTGTGGAATCCTCACACAGGAGCAGGCCCGCGCTGGCAGCCCCGATCCTCACACAGGAGCAGGCCTGCGCTGACAGCCTCGATCCTCCCAATCCTCACACAGGAGCAGGCCCGCACTGGCAGCCCGGATGCTCACACAGGAGCAGGCCCACTGGCAGCCCCGATCCTCACACAGGAGCAGGCCCGCGTTGGCAGCCCCGATCCTCACACAGGAGCAGGCCCACTGGCAGCCCCGATCCTCACACAGGAGCAGGCCCGCGCTGGCAGCCCTGATCCTCCCGATCCTCACACAGGAGCAGGCCCACTGGCA